CGATTCTTTCAGTCTTGACTGGCTCAAGGTTGACTTAGCTTTCCATCCTTCTGAGGTTGGTGTAAATGAGGACCCAGACTGTGGGGGCAATATGCTGACTCTGTAAACCGCTTAGAGAGGGCTGAAAGCCCTATGAAGCGGTATATAAGTCTAACTGCTATTGCTATTGCTAGTGTATTTGGAGCCAACCCAGAGAAAAATTTGGGAAGGGGTTGCATCTCATTTCAGATGTCCTTTTATGACATCCCCCTATAATTAATAAATGAATTTGGTTCAGAGAAAATTAGCTGAGGGTTATTTCAACAATATAATACCAACACAAATCACAACATAATAAAAACCCTATAACTGAACCCTATAACTTCAGTCAAACTGTCAGTCACTTCTTTATGAAAGAGCAACAAATCTATAAGATGCTTTGGCCCGATTCAACACAAAGGAGCAGAGGAATATTTTTCATTTATTTCTTGAACCACATTTCTCTTCTACTGCAATTCAGAAACTCTTGGTATGTTGCACAGAGTATAAAACCAGATGAAACATCCATATTTAATACAATTATAAAACAATAAAACAACCCCACCCAAAGAAAAGGCACAAGGCATAAAAACCGAAATAAAGATGGCCTGACAAAACCAGGGGAAGTTGCTCTCTGGAACCGTGATCCGACAAATGCGCACACGACAAAAGTGTGCCGACAAAACCACACCGAGAAAACTGCGACCTTGAAATCGCACCCACAATAGCAGGCCGACAACAGCGCGCCGCCAAAAGCGCGATTAGGGTTAATGTTAGGGTTAGGGTTAGGGTTAGGTTCAGGGTTAGGGTTAGGGTTAGGTTTCGGGTTAGGTTTCGGGTTATTACGTTGTTTTCATGTTGTTTGTTGAAGGCGCGCTTTTGTTGGCGCGCTGTTGTTGGCGCATTGTTGGCACGATTTCGAGGTTGCAGTTTTCTCCCCGTGGTTTTGTCTGCACGCATTTGTCGTGCGCGCATTTGTCGGTGAACCTCTGGAACAACTCAGCTTCAAAAGCTTCTAAAATCTTAACATAGAGGGGGACATCTTGATCTCAACCAAGAATAGCTGACAAATGCTGCATGGCAATCTGTATCTCCCTTTAACAGGCTGAGATTTGGTATCAAATTAGAAAAAAGAGATAGATACTTACTCTGTACCACAGCGGAGTCTTGAACATCAATCATGATGGTCGTGCTCTCTGTTGCTTTATCCATGTTGGCAGTGATAAGTGAAAGATCAGGTTCACTCCTGCTGATAGTCCTCTCTGTCTCCATTGATAGGTCACCCAAAAGCGCTTGCTCGCTTGTCTCTAGGCTGCTGCCGCCATCTTGCTCCACTGGACTGGCCTCCTTGCTTTTGTCTAACATCTGGTGACCTTCTGAAGGACTTGGATCTTGGGTGGGCATGGGAAGCTCGGCGTTATTTGTTATTTCTTCACTGGTCCTGGGTGAAGAATTTAGAAAGAGAGGGCCATAGTAAGGGATAGGGATTACGGACACGTGTTTGTGAGCCAAAGCAGAGAGAGGAGAATAAGAGTAAAAATAATAGCTAAGATATCACAGTGTTTTAAATAACTTAGATATATTGGATACTTGTAGATGTGANAAAGCATGTTCAAATAATTGTAGTCAAATAAGAATTGTGGTACATTGAGAGTAAGATATACAAAGATTTTTGATTTAAAGTGTATAATCTAATATGAACTATAAGTAATGACTGTGGAAGAAATGCACGAAAGTTATCTGTAACCAATTGACATGCTTTCCACAAGATGCAATGAAGGTTGATTCTTTTTTTGTGTTTTGGTTCAATTAAAATAAAATAAAAATTTTCAAAAAAAAAGAGAGTCATCACACTCACACCACCAAGATTTTTCAGCTTTGTTTCCCAATTTTTGGGTGTAAATAACAGTACAGCTAAATTTCTGATAGCAAATGGATAGGATGTTGTCAATTTTTAAAGTTCTATTTTAATTTTTTAATTTTAATTTAAAATTTAATTTCATTATATTTAACAATCTAGGAAGGACATAATAAAAATTATTACATCCAAAGTTGCTTAGCTATACTCAATGCTTCTTCCAGGTGAGCTACATCAGAACAAAAATAGCTATGAAACTAAAATTAGGAGTTTGCATGGGTGTAATAAGAGTTTAGCTCTAGATTCTGAATTATTTTCCCCTTTACAGGGATTTAGCAGCAGATTGCAGTTAGTGGCAACTACGGATTCTTGATGCTTCCATCGACATGACAAAATCAGCAACAAGGCACAAACCACGCACCCTGTAGCGGGGGATATCAGTGGTGGTATTCAGCCAGTTCTGAAAGGTTCTGGAGAACTGGTAGCGGAAATTTTGAACGGTTCGGAGAACTGGCAAATACCACCTCTGGCTGGCCTCGCCCCCATCTATTTGCTGCCTCCTGAGTCCCAGCTGATCGGCTAGGTCTTCTTTTGTTGCCCTGCACAGGAGAACGGAGCTGGAAAGCAGATTGGTTGGGTGGGGAGGGAATGGGGATTTTGCAGCCTTCCCCTGAAGTGAGGTGGAAATGGGAATTTTGCAGTCTCCTTCCCCTCGAGTGGGGTGGAAGTGGAGATTTTACAGTATCCTTCCCCCAGGAGTGGGAAGAGAATGGGGATTTTGCAGTATCCTTCCCCTGCCATGCCCACCAAGCCACACCCACAGAACCAGTAGTAAATCTTTTTGAATCCCACCACTGGGGGATATGACATCATAACACCCATAGAAAAGGGGCATTCTGCTGAAAAGCCACAACTTTCATACAGCACTCTAATCTCTCATCCCTGCCCAACTCTCCATGGATGCCCCTGGACCCAATCATCTTCAGCAATTTATTTATTATGCCACCCATCTACTCTATAAAGTGACTCTTTATAATTATCAGCTTAAAACCAAGCTTAAAGCGCTTCCGTGTAAGAAGAGGGATGAATATCTTTCTCATCAACTAGGATGGCCTGGGCAAGTTTTCCAAAGTTCAAAATGTAATATCGCATGCGAAAAGAAGACATAAACTCTCAAGTCTATGATGTCTACATCCTCCATTTCTCAGTAATCTTCCTGTAAACTTCTTGCCAGCTTCTAAATAATTTCCTTTCTCTCAAATTTTTGCCCTGGGATTGTATCAAATCAAGAGCTGTAGTGGCACCATGAAGGTGGAGACAGACAGATTAGCAACTTCCTCCTTCCCTCCCTTCCTCCCTTCTTTCTTTCTTTCTTTCTTTCTTTCTTTCTTTCTTTCTTTCTTTCTTTCTTTCTTTCTTTCTTTCTTTCTTTCTTTTTCTTAACATTTTGGAGGATATGACAAAGGCAGTTTTTTCTGAGAGTTGCACTAAATACAACACTGACAAAGACATTTAGCAAACCTTTCTTCCACTGAGATTTGCAGTCCCCACACGTTGGGTCAAGAGAAAAAAGCATCATCTCCTATCCTGTCAACTGTTAATATGATCATTATTACAATTTAACCAGTAAGGAAAGGAAGATGGCTAGCCGAGGTGGCGCAGTGGTTAAATGCAGCACTGCAGGCTACTTCAGCTGACTACAGTTCTGCAGTTCGGCTGTTCAAATCTCACCGGCTCAGGGTTGACTCAGCCTTCCATCCTTCTGAGGTGGGTAAAATGAGGACCCGGATTGTTGTTGGGGGCAATATACTGTCTCTTATAATAAGTCTATTAAACTGATCTCCTAGTAAAAAAGCTAGAATATTCCC